GGTACTGGGGGATGTGAGAAGTTTTCCCAGGCTTAAAGCTTTTTTTCTCTTGCTTTTTATTGAACTAAACCCCAAACTTGTTGCTGTTCCCCCTCCTCTATATAACACATAAATGGTGAATTCTCAGGCTCCCCAATGCTTGGTAGAGAGAAGATTCACTTGGATGGAGGGAGGGAAAAGAGCGGGTGCTGTTCCAGCTGTGCCTCCACTTAAACAGGAGCTACAGAGTTCTCCCCATCACTTTCTCATCCCCCCTAAGAGAAGATGCTGTGGAGACAGAGGCAGCACTCGGAAATCCAGAAGACCTGTGCCACAACAAACTTGTGTCTGTATTAAAACAAACAAAGTAAAGCAGCAAAGCAAAGCTACTCAGCTGCTGTTTGCTGAGTGTGGGCAATTACTTGTGCTGTGCTGTGCCTACTGCAGGAGGAGGCTCCTTGATTTAATCATTCCAAACAGATGGCAAGAACACAATGACAGGGAGCGATGCCCTCACCTCTGCTGGTCCCACCACTCCCAACCCGTGACATGGGGAGGAAGAGGCTGCCAGGAGGTGAAGAGCAGAGTTTGCTCCCTGCCATACCTCCTGCTCTTGGCTCTCACTAGCAGAAGTGTGGAGCAGCAGTGCCACGAAATAATGATGCTTTTATCAGGAGCATCGTTCCAGCCGTGCTCCCTGAGACGCCAGCCAAGCACAGCTGCCATGGCTGCAGGCTGAGCGATAATCTTCACTCCCTGCCTGCCATTAATCTAAAAATGGATGAGGAGTTCTTCTGGTACACAAACATTCCCTCCGTTCAACCACTAAAAGCCAACTGGAATCCCAAGCTGTCCCTAAAAGGAGAGCGCTTTACTGCTGTGCATAATATCTCTCATCTGAGGATCTCAAAGCATTTCACACGTGTCGCTGGTGTCTTAAAACACTTGTGCAAAGCATGGAAACCACATCGCTGGTTTATAGGCAGCAATGGGTGGCTTCTACAAGGTCACACAGAGAGTCCCTGGGGTTGTGAAGGAGCAGCCGGGGCTTCCCACCTCCTCCCATGGCTGATAATCTCCCCAGCTCAGATGTCAAGCGCTGCCCAGATAGGTGTACAGCATCACAGCGCTTGTAAATGTGGGCTTTATTGGCTATCTTGTTCTAAGCCTGCCTGGGATACTTATCAGCAGCCTTCAGGATGAATGGCCTCACGATGAGAGTCCTGTTGCCAATGATGGGAAGGAGGATAACTGTACATTGAGAGGGATCAGATAACTGCTGCCTTGTGCTGCTGCTGTTGCTCCTGAGCCCTGACACTGAAGCTGCTTTCAAAACATGGGGGTGGAGGTAACTCAGAAGAACGGCATCACAACTGGAGCCTAAGATATTCCCTTCTACAGCGTTGAATGAAGGAAAACAACCTCTTATGAAAGAAAAAGCAGAAACTCAACGTATCTGTAGGGTTTTCTAATGCAGTGTCACCTCCTGGGGGGCTTCTTGCATGAGCTGCCCCTATAGTTCCCAAATGTGAAGGCAAGACGTGAAACTAAATGGCTTAGAAGTGTTATGAGTTTGATGGAAGCCTCTGATGAGGTTTGCAGGAGCACGTATGTGAAGCACTAACTGTCTCCAGAACTCGGTGTTTATGGACACAGCACATTTAGATTCAGGAATCTGCCTTGCTTTGTTTGGATGAATTCATATTTGTTTTTAGTTAAGAATTCAGGAGCTGAATTCAAGATCCTAACGGGCGTGCACAAGGAAAGGCTGACAGCACCATAGTGAGACGTGGCCGAAATGAGCTCAGCAGCTCTCACTTCTTCCTTATCAGCTCCATTTTGCTTTGAGAGCTGTGCTGTGCCATATGCAGCTGATAGCACTGGGTGGGTTGGCATTGTGTACCCTTATTTGTTACTTTTCCTCCAGATAACTTGATGGAGGATCTGGGGAGGTTCTTTCCCAATATGGAAGAGATTCAGCAAACTCTTCACCTTGCTCCTTGCTGGAGAAGCATTCCTAGTGTTTACAAAAATACTTCGTTTACACAAAAAATGAAATGACCTGTGAGTTCTAAGGAGGATCACAAACACAGAGCCTCAATGCCAGAAGAATTCTTCAGAATTCCTTTTTCCCTTTTATAATTATACCTTTTCTTGGGAAACAGGGGAGGGGAGAGGAGGAAAACGCTGCCAGTTTTGCTTCAGTATGCCCCATTGGGAGCCTTCTCCCTGGGGCCAGGAGGCTGCACTGGGACCATGGATCACTGGGCTCAGCTCTGAGCACGCAAAGCCCACCAGGCTTCATGAAACTCCACGCCATCCACCTCCCCCCATGGAACTTTGCTGCCAGAGATGCATGCTTTCCCTCTGCTGTGCTTTAGGTACATTTCTCATCAAGGACAAAGAAGCTTGTATCACCGTAATAGTAATTATTTTAAAGAGAACTTATTTCCTGAGAAGCTGCTGCTAGAATTCTGAAGGGAAAGCAATAGCTGTCCTGTCCTTGTTCGTTGCAGAGGAGTTGGGCTTTAAGGGTCACAGTATCATAGAATCACCAAGTTTGGAAAGAATCCTCCAAGTTCATCCACTCCAACCACCCACCCACCACCAACACCTCCCCACTAAGCCACATCCCTCACTTCGACATCTGAATGTTTCTCAAACACCTCCAGGGATGGTGACTGCACCACATCCCTCAGCAGGCCATTCCAGCACCCAGCCACTCTTTTGGAGAAGAGTCGTTTCCAACTCACATGGTTCTGTGATTTCTTACAAGCCATAGCAATCACCTCTAAGTCTCTGGAATTCCCCAGAAAAACTGACAGTAGCAAGTATATAAAATGGCAAAAAGACACCTGGCCAAGCTGCAGTCAGTCATCAAGCCTGGGTGTTTCCATGTGTGCTGCTAGCAAGGCTGTGCAGAATGATGGGAATAAGTCAGTCTGGGTTTGCAAAGGAAGAAATATGGGAGAGCAAAGTTAGCACTTGGGAGTGGGCTTCTGTGCATAACAGACTCACTTTGTCCAGAAGATGCTGCAGTAATGTTATATTTTAAAGAAATTAAAAGCTCTCATGTAGTCAGGTTGAAAACCCTAAAAATAAAAAGCTCATTTTCTTCCTGAGAACCTCAGGCTGGAAGAGAGCTGCTGCCACCAGAGGGACTCCCAAGTACGACGGCCGACAGTGGGGCTGACTTCAGGATTTCCCTCATCTGCTCTCTTAGGTTGCATGGAAGTTCATGCAATTTCTGTTCTGACCACGCTGATGGGGCACAGATGGTGCACTGACTTCTGGGCACAGCAAATGTGTCACCTTGCCCAGTCTCCTCAGCTAATGCACCCAGCCCTGCAAGGTACAAAGTGCTCATAAAACCACCTCTATTTCATGGGATTTCCTGGTATTCAGACATACAATAGGCACTTAATAACATTTAAAACGTTAATGATTTGCTTGTATTCAGGACTAAGTGGCAACGTGAGGTTTTGAAGCATTTACCACAAACACGCTGTTAAAAAGCGCAGAAGAACGCGATGAAAAATGTGTGATTCAAGGTGAAGCCTGCAGAAAATCAGCGAGACTCAAATATGTTCTCCAGGGCATGGGGGGAATGAGCGCTCTCACTTGTCTCATGAAGCACAGCCTTTTCTCTTTTCAAGTGAAAACAGAGAAACTGCTGTTACTGCAGTTGGTGCTCCCTTAGATCAAAGGAAGGAACGAGCTCTTGAGCGCTTTTCTTTCACTGTCTGCTGGTTTTGGTGTTGTGTTCTGGGGAGACAGAGGGGACAGTGAGCCATGAAACCTGAAAGCCAAAGGGTGCTGCAGAAAACTTCTCATGACAAAGCTGTTTTCCTTCCTTCGTAATAATGTCTGGAGTTTTGCAGTGAGAACCCAGAGTTCTACACTCTCCCCAAATGTGCTGGGTGAGCAAAGCTGCCCCATATGGGAATCCTATAAGATGTGTCAGCCACAGACAGCACTCTGTGCCATGGACACGAGGCAACCATCCCACTCCAGAGTCATCCACCAGGCTGATTTGGTTTTGCTGTTAGACAATGTGAAGACAGTCTCCTGATGCAAGCATACAGAGAATCGTCCAGGCTTCCCATCCACAGACGAGAGGAACTCAAGTTCAAACACCCACCCTGGCAGGATATTTATTAAGCAGTCAGAGCTACTGCCTTTTGGCAGTGCAGCAGCTCCAACGAGACAATAAGAGAGATGCTGTTTATACAGTCCACCTCTTAAACTGCACTCTGGTTCCTGGGAGTAGGGGAGATTCCAAGGAGCCGCGTTCCCAATGCTCTGCACCCGGCTGAGCACCTGGGAGGATGCAGTGTTGCACACTGTGCTGCTAACGGGCTGGCATTCATCATACACAGCAGTGTCCTCTGATTGCTGGCCAGTTTGGCTTGTTAAACAGGCTCTCCCCTGCCCAAATGACATGCTTTATGGTGCCTGTTAGTTTACTGGTTCTTTGCAGGGTAAGAGCATGCGGGTTCACAAGAGCCCAATGGCAGAGAGAAGCAGCTCTGAGTGGGAAATGAGATGAGTGACAAACACACAGCATTTCACCTTCCATCTGGATGCTCCCCATCAGCCCCTTGATGCTGACTGCGCTGAGGCTGCAGCACAGTCCTGCTGGAGACAGCGAGGGCATGGCCACACAAAGTCACCCCACAGTGTGTTAGGACTGTGTAAGCTTAATCTGCTCTTATTTCTTTTCCCAAGCACAGCTCCTTCCCAGTTTCCCCTGCTTGCTGATAATGATGCTTTTAGTCTCGTTGGCACTAGATGTTTTTGCATGTGATTTTTCTTAGGCAGGAAGCCTACTCCCTAATGCTCCTCTTGATACCCCTACAGCTCTCCAATCACCTGCTTCCATTATGCACCTGGTGAAATATACACTATTCCTATGGAGTAAGCATCCGTCCTATGGTCATGCTGTGGGGGGACGGTGGCCTTTCAAGGACCTTCCCCTTGGGCCAAGCACTGGAAACCAAACCATCAGCACTGTGGTGGGTTTTTCTTATGCTCAGAGGGCATCACAGCACAGCACAGCATGTCTTGGGGATGACACGTGTGTTCCAACCTTCTGCCCTTATCATAGAATCGTAGAATCAAAGAATCACAGAATGGCCTGGGTTGAAAAGGACCACGATGCTCATCTAGTTTCAACCCCCCTGCTATGTGCAGGGTTCCAACCACCAGACCAGGCTGCCCAGACCCACATCCAGCCTGGGCTATGCTAAGGTTTAGAATCGTAGAATCACAGAATCATGGAATGGTTTGGGTTGGAAGGGACCTTTGAGATCATCTAGTTCCAACCTTCCTGCTACAGGCAGGGACACCTCCCTGTAGACCAGGGCTTATCTCTGTTGCTCTTACAGGGCAGTGACTTCCAGCCTCAGAAATAGGAAGGAAAGGGAAAGGAACAATGGCTTCAGAATGAATAATAATTAGAAATGAATTAGTTCCTGAAGAGTTGTTCTTTTCAAGTGGTGAAGGCTGTTCTACCCTACCAATTCCCAGCAAGAACTGTGCTCCAGTGCCCCTTGTTGCTAAGGGAGTTGGCACCATCAGGTTCACTCCTACCACCCAGCCTGGAGAGCAGCAAAGTGGTCGCCAGTGGTTCAAACAAAGTTCCTGTGGTTAGAAGTAATATATGGCAATGCTAAGATCAGTTACTTATTCCCCCTCCCCAAAAGCACCCCCAAACCTGCACCGGTGTGAAGAATGCCTGATTGCTGGCACAGAAATGTGTTTCCCTGGTCTTCATCCTATACTTGCCCTGAGGGGATTATTTTTTTCCCCTGGTAAATGCGTCCCTCTGGACTGGGAGGGGGCACCTGGTGGAGGTCCATACTTTGTGTTATGAACAGACGTGTTACAGTTTACAGGCATTTCTAACATCTGTGGAGGAAGTTTTGCACTAGATGCAACGTGGGAAGAGAATGAGCAAAATACATGGAGGCAAAATGCTTGTGAGGAAATGTCATGAATCTATGGGTTCCTTCTGTGAGTCTCAGGATACAAGTTTCAGTTATTTTGGAGCCTCAGGTCTTTGAGTGATGGCATTATAACAATTCCTGTTTTCCCTTCCAAAGTAAATTTTCAGATTTTTCAAACTGTTGTCTGCAGAGAAAGGGTCTGAGTCAAAAAAACAAAAACAAAAACAAAACCCCCCAAACAGTGGGAAATTAAAATAATCTTGGATAGAACACCTGAAATATTACAAGTCTGTGTAGATAACCCTGTGGTTTCTGAATGTTTAGAGTTTGCAGTGCTGCTACAGTGAATTTTAAAAGAGTTGCTTTAATCCTGAGCTGTAGTGCACCATAATGTGACAGGAAATAGAAAAAGGGGCTTAAGGGTCTCCTTAGGCACACTTGGAACACATAACAGGGATATACAGGGCAAACCCAGGGCTTGCAGCTAAATTAAGTTGGACAGGACAATTCCAGACCTTTTCTGTAGCCTGAGGACAGCAGAGGAATCGCGCAGGAGGAACCACACAGAGCACAGCTTGAAAGGAGTTTTCTGAAGAAAGTATCCACCTCACTGTCCTTACCCAAACCAGAGGGATTCGCCCACCCCAGCTGCTGGCAGGACTCCCCGGACAGCCCCAAGCCAGAAAAAATCAAAAAAACATCTCACTGTATTCCAGCACACACAGCTGCTTACAGTGACCAGCAGACAGGAGGTGTGAGGACCCTGTAGGGCAAAGGGTGCCCAAAGCCCTACCTCGGCCAGACGCTCTTCTGGTCCTGATGTCTGCTGAGAGCCTCCTCTTCCTCACTTGTCCTTCAGCGTGGCCATGCCCAGGGCCTCCGAGCTGTAGTCGTACTGGTTGCTGGAGGACATGGAGCGTCCCCAGGAGCACTGCAGGTTGGAGCCCCTCTTGCGAAAGGAGGAGGTGAACCTGTAGAAGTTGCGGTGCCGGTTGCGCAGGTACTCCCGGTAGTTTTTGGTGAGCAGGGTGTAGAGGAAGGGGTTGATGCAGCTGTTGCTGTAGGTCAGGCAGGTCACCAGGTAGTTAATGCACTTTTGGGTTTGGGTAGTGAGCTGCAGGGGGCTGCTGTAGAGTCGCACCAGCTGCCAGATCCAAAAAGGCAGGAAGCACGCCCAGAAGACCAGCACGATGCTGAAAATCATGATGAGGACCTTCTGCCGCGGGGACCTCTTGCTCTTCTCCTTGTGGGGCGGGTTCCGCTGGGACTCCAGGTAGGTCCTGGCCAGGCGCGTGTAGAGGAAGCCGATGATGATGCCGGGGGCCATGATGCTGGTGCTGAACAGCACCGTCAGGTAGGTCCGGTAGGCGTCCATGCTCCAGGTGGGCGCGCACATCCTCTTCACCTTGCCCTCCGCCTTGCTCCCCTCGGTCAGGGTGACCATCAGCATCATGGGCAGAGTGAGGAGCAGCGACACCGACCAGACGGCGCCCGCCGTCACCTTCCTGTATCCGCGTGAGCGCTTCAGGGTGTCCAGGGGCCGCGTGACGGCCAGGTAGCGCTCGGTGCACATCAAGGTGAGGGTGAAGATGCTGGCGTGCATGGTGAGCAGGTCCAGGCTGAGCAGGATGCGGCACCCCAGGTCTCCAAAGTACCAGTCCTGGGCCAGGTAGGTGCAGACGATGAAGGGGATGGTGGAGAGGTAGAGCAGGTCGGCCAGGGCCAGGCTGACGATGGAGCTGTACATGGGGGCGGCGCAGCGCGCCGAGTGGCACATCACCACCAGCGTGTACACGTTGCCCGCCACCCCGGCCACGTACATCACCGACAGCACCGTCCCGAAGTCCGACGGGATGAGCAGAGGGCCGCCCTCGGGGGGGCCGCCACCGCCCGCCGTCCCGTTGTCCCCCGCCGCCGCCGTCCCGTTGGGCTCCATAGGCGGCGGCGGCGGCCCCACAGCCTCGCGACGGCTCCGGCGGCGGCGGCGGCCGCTCCGCCCCCCGCGGGATGCGGGCGGGGCCGGGGCTGCCCCCGGGGAAGGGCCGCGGCGCTGCCCGGCACGGAGCCGCCCCGCCGGACCGCCGGGAGCCCGCAGAGCCGCCCGGGTCGGGCGGTGGGAGTCGGCTGCGGGAGCGGCCCCGCAAAGTTTCCGCTCCGCTCTGCCCGTCCCTCCCGGAGCGGTGGCGTTCGTCGCTTCGGCTCGGAGAGCGCCGCGGGGAGAGCCCCGAGCTTCTGCACGTTGGGGTCTGTGCAGCCGTGCGCTGCGAGATGGATGCAGAGCCGGGGCTGGAGCAGCCTCGTTGTTTCTCCGAAGTAGTTAGGCGTTTAGAGCGTGGTTTTCCTTCGCTCCGAATAGCGCGGCAGTAGGAGGAGAGATCGAAGTTCGGGTTTTGGAGGCTGCTGGTCCACCTGGCGCTGCGAAGCGGTGCTTCACGGAAAGTTTTCTGAGCGGTTAGGTGGGAAATCTGCAAAATCAGCGAACGCCTCACGTTACTGTCTCAGAGAAAGCAGAGATTGAGGCCAGCTATCGTTAACTGACACATTTCCGAGGTACAGGAGAGCTGCATTCCCTCAGCGCCCATTGATTTCCAATAGGAATTAACTGCCCTTTATGCCTGCACCCAGAATGCTCTGTGCTCATTTGCCTGTTTTAATCCCTGCTCAGCGTGCGTTTGGGAGCGGTGCTCTGAGCCTCTGCACAGTGCTCCGAAGTGGTGGCACTCACCACTCAGCAGGACTCACCGTAGGAGCAGGACTGAGCAATACAGGATGCTGCCTTGGCCGCTTGGATGTACTTTGCTGTAAGTTAACAAACACACACGTAACTCTGCCCTGCTGCCCGGTGCTGCTCGTGATTGCACGTATCTGTTAAAAGCTTATTCAACAAAATAGCAGATTTGAATGCTGAGAGAGTGGGATCTCAATCGAATCTCAGGCAGAGGTCGGATCGGTGAGCGCACAGGCGAAGTTTAAACACAGGCGTGAGATGGAGGATGTTTTTCCCACCCAAAATTGGGGCTCTGTCCCGGGCCAGCGCCACGGCCACTGCATTCCTGGGCACAGCTGGGCTGACAGCTGGGAATGCGGCAGTGCTGCACCGAGGCCAGGACCTGCCTGCACCCATGGACTGCATGGCCTCTGAATGAGATCCGGCTTTGGCACAGGCCGACATCTCTGGGCTGCATGCAGCTTTCGCAGCCCCGTCTCCTTTTTGTTTCTGCTCTGTTTTCTTCTGTCCTCATTTAGCAGCTGGGACAGAGGGCCAAAGGGAGGAGAAATGGTGTTTTGTTGCCTGCCACGCTGCCTGTTGTGTTTTGAGCAAGCCCAGGAGATGGCAGAGACAAGCAGGGCTCTAAGCAGAGAGTTGAGCGGGGCACAGCACAGAGCAGGATGCTGGAGGTTCCCATTTGGCCACGCACACCCTGATGTGCATTTTTCAGCAGTGTGGGTGACAGGAGGAGCAGCGAATTTTCCATTTCTCCAGACAATCTGAGTGAGGGCTGCAAATGCCTTTCAGGAAGGTGTGTTTTAATTGGATGGAAATACGGAGCTCAGTGCAGAGTTAATGTCAGAGTAGGACCTCAGAGACATACTGCACACAAAGTCAAGGAATCGAGGAGCAATGTGTCTTTTATGAATCTCAAAATGTATTTAATCCCCTGAGGTTTTCCTTTCTTGTAATGCTCTAAAAGGTATTGATATGAAGATGATGAGTAATGTGGTTCACACACAAAATTTCCCCTTTGGTGGCATTTGTTCTAATGTGCCAAACCAGACCCAGCTACCTTCCTAATGTGCCAAACCATAGCCAGCTCTGCTTTGAGTCTTATTCTCTGTTCTTGACAGTATTTTTTTTTTCCAGATGCTCGGAGCTTAATTTTAGAATTTTCTAATAGTCTGCTTATTAGGTTGTAGATAAGAGCAGTGTAGGACCATTTGTGTCCAATGTGTTCTTTATCAGGGGAACAGCTGGTGCACCATTGCTGGCTTGTGAGGTCAGAGTATAGATGGGGCTGGAAGGTGAGGTCCTGGAGGTGGCAGGGAGGTTCTGGTCATAGAATCATGGAATCATTAAGGTTGGAAAAGACCTCTAAGACCATCTAGTCCAACCGTCCTCACACCAATAATGTGCACTGATGGCTGCAGACAACTTCACGTAAGGGCGTGCTGGGCAGGAGGAGGGCAGTGAGAGTGCTCAGGAGCCAAGGCTCCCTGCTAGGACCTGCCAAATCACAGAGGTCCTCATACAGCATCTGCCTGAGAAGGGCAGAGACTGAGCCAGCTCTGGAGGAGCCCTGTGGTGAGGTTTCTCAGATCCCAAACACGTGCTGCCGGATGGGATCTATGCATTCATTTCTTTCTCCCAAACATAGCAGCTCGGCGCTATCATCTGTTGGTTTAGTGTCTGGAAGTGGAATGTAATGCTGTGATGGAAGTGGATGACAAAGAGACAGCGAAAGCAACTGCAGCATAACATCCCCTGGGACACACAGAGACTGATCTGGCTGCATTGCTTAAATGAATAGCATGTGCCAAGCAGCCTTTTCTCAAGTTGCAAACACGCTGATAGATAATCTCTGCAGCTTGGCAATTGAAGCTCCTTGGAGCAATGTTTGCTTTCTGCCACATTGTGCACAGGTGTTCATCTGTCATTGAAATAGTTTCTGAGGAAGAATCCTCAGGTTGGATGTTAGGAATAAGGTATTCTCTGAAAAAGTGGTGATGCAGTGGCACAGCTGCCAGGGGGGGTGTCACTGTCCCTGGGGGTGTTTGGGAACTGTGGAGATGTGGCACTGTGGTCAGTGGGCATGGTGGGATGGGCTGGGGTTGGACTTGGGGATCTGAGAGCTCTTTTCCAATCTCAGTGATTCTATGATTCTTTGATTCACTCAGGTGCAAAGAGTTATTTAAAAAAAAAGAAAAAAGCCATGGGCTGTGTGTAACTCACGCATCTCAGCGGTTTGCACTCGTGGTTTGCAAAGCTATAAGCAAAACCAAATGGCACCCCCTTCTTCTGAAAGCTCATCATTAATACTTTCATTGACATCTGTCTCCTGCAGTCAAGCATCCCCTTAAATTTAAATCTGCAGGATCTGCTCTTCCTCCTCCTGCTCTTCCACTGCCCTCAAGGCTCAGAAAGAAGCCTGAGATCTCAGGTCCTGAGAAGTATCCCTGACAAAGACTGTGGTGTGCCACAAGAAAAGGGAGATCAAAGGCTTTATCCCCAATTTTTGCAGTAGAAGAGGAGTGCAGATTGCATGCTGTTCTAATGACAGAGCAGTCAGGGCTCCAGCAGAGCCTTGAGGATCTTCTTATATTAGAACTCTTGAGAAGAGATCATTTTATGATGGCAAAAATACATTCTAACTGCTCCGAGTCATTTCCTGTACAAACTCAACCCACTGTTACCTTAGAGTGGAACTCAATCTTTTGTTAATAAAGGGTTTCAGATACTTGGGAGCTCTCCTTGAGCTGCTGCCCTCCCTGGGCAGCATTTCTTTGTGTGCCCATTGATTGCACAGCACAAAGATATCTGCTTGGAGGGGCTTGGTAGACATTAGGAAAAGATGGGAGCCCTAGCAATCTCCTTTTCCCAAAGTCAATGTTCACACTTGCCATGTGGGTGGGAACTCACTTGAGGCAGTGGGAGCTGATGTCCCTACATTTCAATGGCCTTCAGAGGAATCCAGCAATTAAAAAAAGCCCCACACCAAACAGGAACCCACATCTACCTCTCTAAACAGAGCTTCAGAGCAGAGCTGGATCCAGCCCTGGGGATGCTGGAGTGGAGCAGTGATTCTGGAGGCATTCAAGGCCAGCTTGGATGGGCCCTGTGCAGCCTGACCTGTGAGTGGCACTCAGCCTGCAGCAGAAGGGCAGAACTGGATGATCTTTAAGGTCCCCTCCAACCAAAGCCATTCTGTGACTGTATGACTCTGGCGTGACAGCGAGGATGCTGTGCAGGATGTGCATGTCTCCTGCCGTAACCTCACTGCTGGCACAGCTGTCAGGGCTGGGCTGATGGGTGTCTGCATTCAGCCACATCTCTCCCCGTTATCTCCCTCCTGCAGACTTGTGCAGGTGCACAGTGCAGAGCAGAGCAGTGACTCCACTCGCTGCCAGGACTTTTCAGTACACTGACTTCGGCCTCCAGGTTGAGTTGCCTCTGGAGAAGCTGGGAACTGTTTGTTGTATTTTCATTCTAACTGGTGCAGTGATCTGAGGGTGTGTGTCAGAGCCTATCAGTGTCAGACGTCTCTGCTAAGGGGGATTTCAGCCACTGCAAATTGCAGCTGTGGGGGTGCTCACATAGGCTTAGAGAGCACAGTGAAGTCCTTTTTGTCCCAGGCTTTCCATTGCCTTTGGATCAGGCCCCAGACTTTGTCTTCCTTTACATCTGCCTTCCAGTTGATTTAAAAAGCCCTGACCCAGCAGAGCAGAAGCCTCACCCTGTGCTGGGTCATGCTGAGCTGGGGGCTCCCCTGGGGCTCACCCATGGGTGCTGTGCTGGCCATGCTGGGTGTGAATGGATGCAAGGAGAGAGGAGCAAGGATAAAGGAACCGCAGGGATCTGTTCATTTATTTCTTGGAATAGGGCTGAACACTTTTTTTTATTTCACTGCAGATTGCATGCAGTGAGAAAATCAGTTTTTAAAAACTCCAAGAGCACAGCTCTTTCTCTGCAGGCTGCAGATGGCCAGGTAGGCTTGTTATTCTTCACTAATCAGCCTGGGACTAGGCCAGCACATTTATGTAGAAACACTAATACTTTTATTACCAAAGACAGCCCAGAGCTCCTACGGTTTGTCTAGAAAATGGAATATTTGATTTTCCCCCAGTAATGCTGTGTTTTCCTTGTCTCCTGGCAGTTTGCACAAAAGCCCAGAATTATGTGACATACTGCAAAGGGAACATCCAACCCTGCTGTGCCATCTGAGCTGCTCGTGGTGCAGCAGGCATGTCCCTGACCCCAGAGCCATCAAGCTGTTCCCCTCTTCCAGATGGGAATCCATGCCTTTGCCTTCACCGTCAGCAATAATTCATGTGTATTTACTCTCAAAGCATGCAATATTAATGTGTCCTTTTAATATAAATGTACCTAGGGTTGGCAAAGGGGGGTCGGTAGCCCTGGGCATTGCTGTTTGTCCAGGCATCTTCAGAAGAGATGCTTTGGTGATGCTAACCCCCATGATGGATTTGATGTGAAGGGCTCGTCTCCAGCAGTAAGTCCTCAGTATTTATAGTCAGCTGCATTTGTGCAGCCATAGCCAAATAGGCTGATCTCCTTTTTGTAGGATCATGGAATGGTTGAGAGGGACCTGAAAAATTATCCAGTTCCAACCCCTGGGTGTCCTCACCAGCTCAGACTGCCCGGGGCCCCATCCAGCCTGGCCATGGGGCACCCACAGCTCTGGGCAGAGTTCCCATACCATGGGCTATAGGTAGAAATAGAAATACCTAAAGTATGCAACAGCTGGTCCAAAAGCATGTGAATATGAGGTGTGGGACTGTTGGAAAGGAGGGACAGGAGGCAGCATGGCAGCTGAGAATTGGCCTGACAGTTTTGTTTCACAGACACCAATTAAGGGGAGCATATTTTGCTGAAGCCCAGAAGAGGAGCTGGGATTTCTCTGCCTTTTTCAGTGCTCTGGGGGAGCGCACGCAAGAACAGCAGCAGCTTTACCTATCAGCAGCAGGGGAAGTCGCAGTGCTGCAAAAGAGCCTTACTTATATTCCAGAAAGAATTGTAGAACCACAGGATGATTGGAGTTGGAAGGAACCCCTAAAGGCCATCTTGCACTCCTGCACTGAGCAGGGACACCCACAGCTCCTTCAGTGCTCAGAGCCCGTCCCCTGACTGTGGCTGTCTGCAGGGATGGGGCATGGAGGTGTTCCATTGGGTTGGGCCACTAAGAAGCCTCAGAACTCTTGCTGTAGATCGAATTCCACTCTGAAAATGGAATTTAAGCATTTTTTCAGTTACGCTCCGTGTATTCTGTGCTATTTTTCTCCAGCAAGGGAAGCTGCCTGCACTGCATTATGTATTAGACTCTTGGACGCATAACTAATCATGTAATTATTAGAATTATATTTGCATTCACAACTGGGATGTATATAACTCATATGTTAATGCATGCTAATTAAATACCCGATTAATCATTTAAAAAAATGAGGTTTGAGTCTATACAGCTATCACAGGCATAGTAAATACACACTGCTTCTGAAGAATAAACCAGGTGTGTCTTAATATGCAATTCCAGTCCTGCATAAACACATAACGCCAGTTATTTAGAAAGGATTCAAAGTGTTTCTTATGCACATTGCACAGCAACTGCTGGCTGAGTGACAGTCATTAGGATGCATTTTACTGCTTCTTTACATTATAGCACATTACTACTTCCAGCTGTTCCAGCCATCTGATAAGGCACACATTCATTAAGCTTTACCCTATGAGGGATAGGGTCTAATCCTTCAGATACACCGCCAAAAACCAGTTGTGTTTGTGAAGTCTGGGGCTGTGTGGCCCTGGCAGGGCGTACAGCATCGCTTCATCTGCAGAACTCAGAAGCTCTGTAGAAGGTGCTGAAAGTCCACAGCATTTGATGATTCTGATTTGATGAACATGCAAAGCTGCTGCTGCCAGAGGGGGAAGCAGGCAGCTGTACATTTGTCTCCTATAGAAGTTTCTTACCCCTGGGGTCCTTTGCTTCTTTATTCTCTCCTGCATCTCTATTTACTTATTTACTTTAATTTTACATATTCCATTGCCAGGACAGCTGGGGTTTACTGCCCCCACACTCCTTCCCTCCTTACTTTGTTCACCCTCACCCTTAGGAAATAGGTGTGCTGATTTTCAGGATCTTTGCCTTTAATTTTCTGGAGATAGCAGTATCTTAAATGGATGATTTCATTCAGAAACCAATCAACCTAAATCATCATCAGTGCTAAGTAATAACACAAAGTTCAACGTGTTTTCCTCAGGCGTCTCTCTGAGTTCAGGCTGTGCTGCAGCTGTGGGGTTATTTAAGTCTGAAGCTCACCTGAGACTTCATCAGTAAGGTAAGAGAGTGCCAGGAATTATTCTAACATTGCAGCGCTGGTTTTCTGGAAGGTCCCTGTTTGTCCCTTTCAAGTTACTCAAGCTCTATTCTAAGAACCAGGAACACAAAGGATGAATATTCAGTTTGGTGTCGCTTATTCCTCTGATCATGTCATTTCCCAACAGAGAAGTGCAAATCTCCTTTCTCTAACAGCAACATTTACTGCTGTATATTAAGAAGAAAAAAAATTTCACCAGCTGTTCAGTTTTGATAGGTCTGCACAGAAACCAGCCCGGACAGCAGACCCAGGAGCAGCAACAAAGGTCATGAGAGCACTTTTTCTTCAAGCAATGTGGAAACGATGGATGTTAGAACAGTTTATTAAAGAAACCAAACACAATTCTGTGTCCTTGGTAGTTTTTTTGGCTGATTGCATTCTGGCAGGCTCAGAGGACACAGTGATTACATACTAAAAGGGGTGCATCTTCTTATGCTTCAAGCACGCCCTTCTCTCGGCCATCAATTGACCCCATTGCTCAGGTGTCCTCCAGCCCATAATCACCCTTGTCCAAAGGCTATCAGGCTGTGGTTGTATCAAGAGGCCTTTCAACTTTGAGTCATTTGCCCCTTTGGGAACTCAGCTGAGGTTAATCTCAGTTAATTACCAGATTGCTCTCAGGTGTGTTTTGTTGGGGGATCTCAAACCAACACCCAGAGGGCAACGGAGCACCGTACAGATCCATGTAAGCTGGAGCTGAGGTTGCTGCTCTGGGATTAAATTCATCACAGAGAACCAACTTGAAGCAGTTTATAAATTGGTATGTAGAGCATACTTAGATTTTTTTTTTTTTTTTTTTTTTTTTTTCAAAGGAGAAATGGGTGATTTTAAATGCTATCACAGACTTCTCTCATTATTGTCATAACTTGAGAGTGCTTTTCCATTTAGGAAGTCATCACGTGGAATAGAAATCACTCAGCAGCACCACTAACTCTGAAAGGGTGAATGATTTTAAGGTAAATTTAGATATAAGTGCTGGTTATGTTGTAAGTCATGCTATTCCACTCTCTGTGGTGGATGCTTATCTGTTTCTTATGTTTCAGTGTATGTTTGTGCCTGCATGACTTTGTTTGGGAGTTGTGGGCAGATTACATCCTAGTGTTTCTCCATATGACTTTTTAATTCCTGGTGCTCCCATTTGGTACTGAAGCAGTTGCCTCTTAGATTTGTTCATGGAATAAGGAATGTCTTCTGTGACTCGTTAGTGGGATTAGCAGCACTTCTTGTAAATTAAAATAATCATTTTTTCCATCCTGTTCAGAGGTCTGGGTTCAAAGCAGCCCTCACTGTCCTTTTTGCCCCTGAGTCCCAATGGAGGTTATAGAATGACTGAATGGTTGGAGTTGGAAGGGACCCATAAAGGCCATCTGGTGCCACCCCTGCACCAAACAGGGACACCTACAGTTCCGTCAGTGCTCACAGCCCATCTCCTGACCTTGGCTGTCTGCAGGAAGGGACACCATTGCCTCTCTGGACAACCTGGGATGGTGATGCCTTGGGCAGGGAGCAGAGCAGGTTGGTACAGCACTCTCCAGCTGTGCTGAGAAAGTTAAAAAAAAAAAACCAAACAGCCAGATAAATGTTCTCCTCTAATTCTGTCCACTGATCTCTTCTAGGAATTTTATGATGCACAGTTTGTATAGTAGGAACCAAGGCATAAGAGTGGCATACAACATGTCATGGTCATGCAATCTTTTCATGGTTGCATAAAAACTCAGATCTGGGCTGAAGATCAGCTTCTGAGCACACCTCCTGTCACCGTGCATCCGTTACTGGGTGTTTTTCATGCTGCCCATTGGGATGAATTACATCAGGATAGGTGGTTCCAGCAGCAGGATCTGACATTCGTTCAGGGTTTACAAGGAATGGCAGTGTGGTGGAGCTGGCTGCTGGATGGGGCAGGACAGGGGCTGGGGCTGATCTGATGTCAGTGTCTTTTTCCGGAAAGGAGTAGGGAGTGTGGCAAGTGGGAAAGAAGGGTTTGCTGAGAATGAATTTGACACAGTGGAACAAAGCGTTCCCCTTAAATGTGTTCTACAGCCAGAATAGCAGCAGCACTTCTGCCAAGTGAGGGGCCTGCTGCAAGAACAGTTTGGCAAGGGGAAGATATAGCCAAATTTGAGTGAAGCAGCCTGATGGTGGGTGGCTGGGTTATGCAATTTGACTGATATTCAGCATCCATTATCTCTTGCAAAGCTTCTTTGAATGAAACAAAATGGTAGAGCAGATGACTGCTGTGCGTTTAAACACTTCCATTCCAGTTCTTGAAACTTGAGAAAGAAGATGGGGAGGACAGAGGTTGTAATGAAATCCTCACTGGGAAACTGAGGGCAGAGGGAGAATATGAGCTCCTGCAGTGTCAGAAATTCTTGGATTTGTTGAAAATTGGTTCTGGAAGGAGTGAGCCAGAAAGAAATCCTTTAAAAAAAAAAAAACCCCAACAAAAACAAAAAAAGGGGGGGGGGGAAAAAAGGGGGGGGGGGAGGGGAAGGGAAAAAATGCAATATCCTTTCACTTCAGTGCACTTTTGTAAGTGTAGTCATTTCTGGGAGAAGTATCAAGGCTTACTGCTATTCTTGACACTGCCATGAGGGATGAATGAGCTCTCATGAATGGAAGAATCATCATCATCATGTAGAAATCAGTGTGGTTTGGCCTTAAAAAGAGTGATCGTAGCTCAACCACTTGTGTACAAACAAGAGTCTTCTTCTAATTGCCTGGCTTGCCAAGGAGGGAATGTGGCTGTTTTCTTCTCCCCGGGAGTAACTTTGACTTCACAAGGATAAACTGAATTGGTTAAGGTGTATTTAGGAAAGCGTCTCTCTTATCCTTTTTAAGGTATTACTCAAAGAGCAAGAGAGGACTCAGCTTGGGATTCAACTGCTGCAGTGATATCAGTGCTGAAGGACAGGTGGTTGTCTGTAATGCTCTCTTGTCATAACCAGTGTGAACCCATGGGAGGTGATGAAGACATGCAGCCCAAGGAGACATTGCACTGTGCGGGGGGATGTGTGTGATACCCTTACCACAACAGAACCTGCAATGAGTTATGATGTGAAATAAGCATGTGCAGAGCAAGAGAAACCACTGCTGCTCCAGAGAAACCACTGCTCCGAGGCCTCTCCATCTGGTGACTGCTGCCAGAGAGCTGCAAACACTCCGAGCTGAGCCTTCCTGGGTTTTGATCCTCTGAGTGCCTGTGTAAACGTGGACCAGCTGCTTCCACCTTCCGTGCTTCCTGGAGTGGTTCCCAAACAAAAGCACGCTTGCTATAAATTTCCAGTGCCGCTTTGGCAGCGCGTGTATTGACTTTTCCATTTTCCTTTTCTGGATTTTGTTTCCTCTCACCTTTTAAGTTTCTTCCATTTTCCCCGATGGAGTACTTATGTTCTCAGATTAAAAACAGGAGTTTGTTCAGGTCGATTGTTAGTATGCTGTCAAATGGTATTTTCCATATAAAAATATTTATTTTACTTTAAACCACATCTTTCTGATGGAAGAAGGCTTTAAAAGAGTCAGCGTCTGGGAGCTTCTGTGCATAAATGTTTCAGCGGTTCTGTGATTTCATGGAGCAAAATAAGAGTGCAGAGGGTAGCCCATTTCTTTTGCTGCTGGCTCCTTCCCTTCTGATGTAGTGAAGCTGAAATGTGAGGTGCGAGTGGACTCCATGCTGCTGTCTCCCAGAGAACTGGATAATTCAATGTACATGAACAAGTATCACCCAAAAAGGTTGACCTCGGTGATTTCCCCATGTCCCTTCTATCTCCTATGACTCTATGGTGCTGCTCCTTGAGCACAATGGCTGGTCTCTGGCTATTGTGTAAATCCAGCAAAGCAAATACAGGCCCACGGTAGCTGACCTTCCAGGTGGTGTTATTGCAGTCCTGTGTCACGTAATTGGAGGAGAAAGTGGTTTTAATTGGGCTGCACACAGATCTCCAGTGAAATAGATTTTTAACTTTTGGAAATCAATAGGTAGACTCAATATGCAGTAAAGATTAAGGCTGTTACTGATTAAATATTGCTCCTTCCTTCCCTGAGGGTGTAAAGTTTACCTCTCTAACTGCTTGAGCTCTTAAGAGAGGCTGCCAGAGATGGTGAAGAAATCTTAATTTTCTCAATGTTTAAAAGGAGTAATCCTATCATACCTCTCTCTGTTCCCAGGCCCCCTGTGTATATTCCAATTAAAAACTCAACCTTCCGGATTTTTCCAGATCCATGTAGATCTTTGAGAATAACATTAGCTGGTACTTCTTAATGCATTCTGAGTGGTTGGAGTGACGTTTCTAAGCAGCTGAAGGCATGGCTGTGGTTGGCAAGGCGGTGTGAAAAGTCCTTCATCTCAAAGTGCTGCTTTTTGTACATGAGCACGAATGTTTCCTCTTCTGCCTTGACAGCATCCATTTTGCAGAAGACAATAATGAGACAGAAAACAAGGGATTTTATCCCAGGGCCATGTCACCAAAGGCCAGGCTAGAGCTTGCAACTTGGTAATGAAGACATCTGCCTATCTTTAACTTGTTGTTCCTGCTCCACTGTACCCTTTGCAGACCTTGCCACAAACAAAGTGGTGCATGACGTACAAATCTGGAACTGAAGAGCCTCTTCTGCACGAATCTCATGCTCTCTCCTGCCACCCATGCCTGGCAAATTATAAGTGAGGAAAGCCTAACAGCTCTGAGAGGGCTACTGAAGTCATAGGGAGTGCAGCCGATCATATCTGGAGGTGCAAAAGCAACTCGAGCATCTCACTGGTACAAGCCCTTCTTTCTCTCCAGCAGTTGTTATCCAGCCTGACCTTCTCCCTGCTCTCCATCTGTGCTAATTAGACCAGGCTTTGAGGTATCAGTCCTTTCTGTGTGTTTTTTTTTGTCACAGAATTTCTAGCAATTTAGCCAATTGTATTACGAATTAGCCTTTGGCATTCTCTTATGGAGAAATGGTGTTGAGCCCTGATTAATGCCTTGTGAAGCTGTTGGCAGCCATCGCTGTGAGTTAGTTCTGCTGGGCTGGTGAATTCAGGGCAGTTCCTCCTGTTGCAATTGAAACGCAGAACTTGCAGTGTGGCTGCATCAGTAGCAGCATGTAAACATGTAAACCCAGCAGTTTTCATAGAATCATAGGGTTGGAAGGGACCTCTAGAGGTTGTTCAGTCCAACCACCCTGCTAAGGCATGTTCTCTACAATAGGTTGAACAGGAAAGTTTTATATGGCAGGCAGAAGAAACCTGAATCCGTATCTTAAAAGGACGGCAATGAAATGGAATTTGTAATACAAATTACTGTTTTTAATTCCTCCTTATCTTTCAGTGTGGGAAAAAAAGTCATAGAATTGTTATGGTTGGAGAAGACCACTAAGATCATTAATTCCATTGCAAACCCATCCCAACCATGCCCACTGACTATGTCCCTCAGTGCCATATCTCTGCTTCTGGAACACCTCCAGCTGAAAGAAATATCAAGTCAGAATTTGATTCAGGCATATCACACCATTCATGGCTCTTGGAAGCAGGGAGTATGGATTTCTTATTTATTTCTTGTTTAATTAAATCTAGTTTTATGATACTTCACTTGTTACATTGGTAGATCATGGAATGGCTTGGGTTGGAAGGGACCTCAAGGATCATCAAGTTCCAGTCCCCCTTGCCACAGGCTGTGATATGTGGGTTTGGAATGAGCCCATGGTTTGCACAAGCAGAAATCAAAAAATGTCATCTACAGTTGTGACATGCCAGTGAGTCAAAATGTGCTGACAATAGCAGCCGTGTTTCAGAAACAAAATGTTGGCACTGTATTCACTGTCATCAGAAGAAGGAGATAGTTGGTAAAAATGGGATCCATTTAAGTAATAACTCCTTAGGAGTTTTTGTTTGAGTCATAGAATCACAGAATGGCTTGGGTTGGAAGGGACTTCAAAGACCATCCAGTTCCAACCCCATTACTGCAGGCAGAGTTGATCAGGCACCAGGTCCCCATCCAACACATGGGTGAGTCTCGTTAATTTTCTGCAGGGTCTGCAAAGATCTCTGCACCATAATTGCACAGTAGTGCATGTAGGTGGATGATATCATACCCTATCTGGTCATCATCACCACCACTGCATCTGAAAGATGTCACAGTCTTTATATTGTGAGTTGTAGGTTTTTTGTTGTTGTTGCTATTTTTTTTTTCTTTATATTCTCTGTTTCCGAAGTTTCTGAGTAACTGTGTGCGTGCGCTGTGTGGAATTTAAACAGATATTTGGGAAGTGGCTGTTAGCTATTACATTTCTTGGCTTCAGTGTCAAGAAATCTAGTGGGATTATCAAATGACTTTTTCTTTGTGAAGGAGGCAGAGATATTGTGATGGACTAGAAATATTTGTTTTTGATGTTTTCACACTAGCTACTATCATAGTAAT